GGTTTGGGTTTGGTTTTCCTATCCCAGAAGAAACATGTGATGAGAATAAGATTCTTCCTACCTGGTAGAAGAACAAGTAGGAAAAGAAATAAGAAATATATCCCTTAGCTTCTCCCTGTCACTGTCTCTCACTGCCCGGTCAGTGGGACTGAGCCTCACCTGCATTTCAGCAGCTGCCTACCAGAGGACCCTGACAGCAGGGGGGCTGTGTCTGGAGCAACCTTCTTCCTGGGCACAAAAGCCATCTCCTCTGTGTACAGCTATCCATTGGAAAATACAAAAAGTGGCAAAATGTGGCTGAAATCTTTTCCCCCCACAGGCTCACACAACCCAAAGCTCAGGGAAAATAGTGGTCATATGCTGGAGCCTGCCTCCACATGAAAGTCTCTGTGTCCCCTCTCACAGAGAGGTGAGGAAGAGGGAATGGGGGGTGTCTCTTCCCCTACCTGATGGAGCTGTGCAGAAAAAGGAGGTGAGGGGCACAGTACTGGAGAGTGAGAGGCAGTGTGGGGATGTGGCTGTGTTGCCTAGAGGTTAAGTCACTCTGCTGGGGATACATTTCTGTCTCTGCTCCCAAGGTTTCATGCTGCATTTGTGCTGTGCTGCCACCAGCAGAAACGACTCCATCTTAGGTGCATGGAAAAAGGCAAGGGTGTCCACCTTCTGTGAGCAGCTGCAATTTTAGGTCTGCTCAGGGAGGGTGTACCAGCCTGAGTCCTTCAAGGATGTGGGGTAGAAGCCTGCTGGGGTCAGCATCCCAAACAGTCAGGCACAATCTCCTCACCCCTGGGAAGGCTGAAACCTTTCTAGACATAAATAAAGACAGCACATGATTTCTTGGGTGAGTTTAAGGTCAAAAAAAGAGCATGATCCTGAAGCCGAATGATCTCAAGGGTAAGAAGCCAAGTAAGATGATCTCAAGGATAAGAATCTGAGTAAGACTTTTCTACTTCATTTACATCTTGTCTTTTTCTTGAATACAGCTCTAAGCTCTTTCAGAAAGCTTGCAGAGAGGTCCTGATACCTGGAGACCTGTCCTTTCTGAAGAGGTGTTTTGTTTTTTTTTTCCCCAAAGAGCAACAAAAAAACAAGGTACCACACTGAAGCCCATATGGTTTATGATGTGAATCCAGAACATATGGAAAGCCCCCCACTCAGGGACCAGGTCCTAAAGTTCTGCCAGACCTGTGGTAAACACCCACTATCCAGAGACACAATAACAGCTTTGCACATCTCTTGGTACCCATTTTAAAGCTTCTTTCTCTTTAAGGCACACTGCAAATGCTTTAACTATCAGATTCATCCAAAGTCACAGCAGAAATAAGAAATATGCCTGTATTAAGGGGTACAAAAACTTCATCCACTTCCTTAAAATGTGCGAGAGAAAGAAATGCTGTAAGATAATGCTCCCCCCCTCCCCTTTCTCTTGCAAAACTAGACCCAACAGATTTCTACCAGAATGGCAGTGGTGCACGGCTTGCCATTGAAATGGGCACTGTGCTCCTCGCCAAAATCTGCGGGGTGCTCTGTGCCAGAACAATGTCCCGATGTGCTGGCAGCCAGCAGGAACCCATTTCCATGTGAGTCACCTACCGGGCTGCAGGTGCTGGAGGCCCATGGAAAGTTGAATCCTAGCCACTAACAGCTAATGTAATCATGTTGCTTGCTCAGATCTCCTGCTGATAAATGCACCCAGTTACTCCTAACTGTCTCCCTTACAAAATAACACCTTCCAGGACACCTACCTCTTCAATAGTTTTTAACCACGCTGCAGCTGCACAAGAAAATCCATTCATCAATTATAAATCAATTGAGGAAGAGAAATCTGCAGCTTGCTTGATTGCCCTTGTTGTCCCTACAACTCACTGATCCAGCTACAGAAACTTTCCAGCCTGCCAGGTCTGATTATTTATTTATTTACATTATTATTGTTGTTGTTGTTATATTGATAAAATAATAATAACACTTATAATAATTGAGGGTTTGAACCAATCATTCCTTTCTTTGCAGAAAATAACAGCAACAGTAACCCACTAGCAACGATCTTCCCTCTGGTGGGAGAAGGGGAGAGATGAAAAGAGAAACGTGTTGTTTTGTGAGAGAGAGATTGTTTTGTGTTCCACAAAAGGCAATGCAAGTATGGTGGGCCAGATGCAGTCTCTAGCTACAGCCGTCCTCTCTGATTGCAGGGGACTTCTTTAAATAGGTAGCTATTCCCGAGAAAAAGCTCTACTCCTCCTTGCCTGTTAATGTTGTCAATTCCTAACCCTCTCCTTCCAAGAAAAGATCTGCATTATGCGAGGCTGCTTTTAACAAGGAAAGCATCTGCAAAAGTTTGCTTTAGACAGCTTGTTGCTTGACGGTGAACCTACTTAAAAAAAAAAAAAACAAACACAACTGCCTGGATACGGAGTGAATGCACGCTGGAAATATTAGAAAGACTGGAAAAGACTTTGGGAAATAATAGCTGTATTTTCGATAACGCGGAATGGGGGTGTTGGGGGGGGGGAGGAGGTTGGAGGATTACTATACCAAAGGCTGGGGGGAAATATAATAATAATAATAATAATAATAATAACAATAATAACAACAATAACTCCGGGAGGAAAGGGGATGGTTTTTCTCTCCCCTGCTAAAGCAGTTTGCAGGTATTTTTCCTCCTTTATTAAACTAATCACCGTGAATATCACGGTATGCTAGTATTTCTCAAGTTAAACGAGTAGCAGGACAACTGGATATTTTACTCTTTTTTTTTTTTTTTTTTTTTGGTGTTGAGTGTGCCGAGGTGACTAAATTTGCCTTGTTGAGCCTTGTAAAATCCTGACTTAATCATGTAAACTTCTGTGTAAGCAAAATAGACGAAACTTCAAAGGGTCAAAAACCCTTTAGGGATTTGCGAGGAGACGCCAGCAATAGATCCTAATCTGCCTCCAGAATCCTGGCTGTATTTGTCCAAGGAACTGGTACCAGCAAACTCTCGAAGGTAGAGATAGTGGGTTGATTCAGCCTTTATCCCCTTAGAGAGTATTGGCTTTGTGAGGCTCTAGGCAGTGCTTCAACGCCAGGGGATCTTGCCCAAACCCTCTAAAAATGAAGTACAGGAGTAATTTGAGATAATGACTTTGTAACAGGCTTGGGCAGACCTTGGACAGAAGAAGTGAGAGATGTTATCACCCCAGCATTCCTCTTAAAATGCAGTTTTTCCCCCTGCTTATTCCCAGTTAGTCAAAGCTACATTAACATTCCATCCAGGACTGCTAAACAGAATCTTAATTAGTCCTGATACTCTTGTGCAAGGGGTTTATTCATTGCACTCTTAACTAATGGTTGCTGTCAGAGTATTTTTTTTCTTCTTTGGGTTCTTTGGGGATATCGTGTTCTGCTGCAAAGCATGACAGAAATGTAATGTGCATGCAAAAAAAAAAAAAAAGCTTGCAGATCTGACATATTGAGACTGAGGCTGACTCCAGCCTTGTCTAATGGCGAAACATTGTTAGGACTAATGAGAATAACTTCACCAATAGAAATATCTCTGCCTCTTTTTTAATCTTAAATTTTAATGGTACACACTCTCTCGCTCTTTTTTCTTTCTTTTTTTTTTCTTTTTATTTTTTTCCGGTGACAGAAAATGACACAAACTTGTTACTGTTTTGAAGCAGTTCACGCAACTCCCACTAAATTTGCAACCTTTGCATTAGCCACCCGTGGCTCTGTATTTAATGACAGTCTGTAGGTGGAGAATTAACAAGTTACTGAACGGCCAGTTGCTCCGGCAGGAACCTTTTTTCTCTGCGTTATACTGTATTTGTAACCCCGCGTTGCATTCATTCCTCCCTTTGACAGACACAAACACATAGACACCCCTCACATGCACACACACCCTCACACCCCGCTTTACACGCACACAAGGGTCTCTCTCTCCGCAGCTCGCAGACACGGAGTGGCTCGGGTGCCAGAGAGGCGCCCGTTTGTGTTCTGTACACATTTGATGTGAGCATCCCTCAAGGCTATTTGCAGCTCGGGGCTGAATCGTGACAACAAACAGCCACGGCAGACCACACTACAACCAAGTAGAGGGGCAGCAGGGACGCCTCGCCATCCCTGCTGCCCTGAGACGGCCGGTCCTTTCACCAGCCGCTGCAGAAAGGCGTTATTTGCCTGTAAATCTGCGTTCAGCTACACCGATCTCGGAAACAGATCTGTAAGACTATAAATTACCGTTTCTTTCTTTCGGGTTGGGAGAAGGAAATGGAGAGAAACAGAAGGAAGAAAAAGAAAAAAAAGAAAAAAAAGGTGAGCTTTTTTTGCAAATAGGAGGTCCGTGTTACTTAGCTGCTGCTCACCCCTGTTAAAGGCTCCTTCCCATAAGCTTGCGTAACATTGATTACTCACAAAGAGTTCACAATAACTATCATGTAGCTAAACTAATTGAGACAATCATGCTAAGTTATAGTCAGTCTAAAAGGTACCATTGATGTGGTAATGCCTATAGAAAGTCAGACATGCGACTCACTACCATTTAATTGCTCCTTTAAACCTGTTATTACAACCTTAACTGGCTTAAGTATATATTGCTGCCTTTTATTGCCTTGATGTGACAAATTAAAACATACACTCTAGAAGCGGCATTCATTTGCGTACGGAGTTGCAGGAAAAAGGGAGCCGGGCTATGTCAAACCTGTCAGGATGAATTAATTTTAAAACTTGCATTTTGCACTGCAATTCCCACTGCAGTTTTGTTGCATGGGAGAAATATTTTTATATATAAAACATACTACTATTATGTGTAATACTATCTACGTGTATTCCATCTCACGCAGATCTGCCATAAAAAAAAAAAAAAAAGCCCCATCGCGCTAAAAATGTGCTTTTGGCTGCGAGACCTCGCCTGGCGCTAAATTAATAGGAGGGCTGGAAGGAAGCACGGAGGGGGGGGAGCGGTGCAGTTTCTACCTCGGCTTAACACCACTGGCCTATACGATGCGCGGGGTGGTGGTGGAGCAGGAAGGGGCTCGCCAGTGGTTCCCTCACCCTTAGAGGCCAGGTCCCGGGCCTGGGGAGGAGGAGGTTATTCACGCCCCAAGACCCGGGAACAAGGCGGCAGCCCCGCTCCCTGAGGGCTGTCCTTTCGCTGCTCTTCTCCACGAGGAAGCTCTACCGAGCTCCCGCAAGGAAGGAAAAAAATAAAATGTAATAACCATTTCTTACTTCCCCATCCCCAGGGCTGAGCCGCGCTCGGGATCGTTTAAATGCACGAGGCTGCGGCTCTCCCGCACCGCACCGAGCAGCTCCCCGCACATCCTGCACTGTCTGGGCGGGGGTTCCGTGGGCTCCAGGTAAAGCACTCCCTTCTCTTCCTTCCCTTTCCCTTCCCTGGGGCTATGGTCAAGGCATTGAGGACTCCCCCAAACAAATACTCATCTTGTTCCTTCCCTTTGTCTCTTCCCCCCTCCTCCGCTAGCGGTAAGATGTCAGGGGGTTAAAATGTCCCACTCGCCTTCTCCCTTGATCTCGGGGAGAGAGGTAAGAGTTGCTGGCACCTTTATGGGACTCAGACCTGCTGCGGCTGCTAGAAGCGTTGGCTCCCGCTAACTTTGATCGGCCTTATTCATCCCAGCTGCGCTCTATTTGTTTGTCATTTCTCCCTTTTTCCTCACAGAATCGTTATTTATGTTCTGAAAAGTGAAATGCGCCTCTATTTGACTTTACATGGACACTCGCAAACGAGGGGAGACATCTCCCTTCTTCCCTTCCCCTCGAGGGGGCTGCCAAAAGAGAGGGAAAAAAACTGTCTCAATCATTATCAAATCAGCTTTGCATTCATTACTCCAGAGCATTAACTAATTACCAGATCAGAGAGAAGAAAAAATAAATATTCCTTTAAATAACTGAAGGTAATTATAACCCTGTTGTTGACACTAACGATTAATAATTGATCAGAAGTTATACACAATAAATTGTCAATTTATCTCCCCATACAAATGCACATACTTCTTTTTTTTTTTTTTTTTTTTTCCTTTGCGATTTGTAAGAGCCCGAGCAGCGACAGTATCCACACACAGCCGCCGCACGAGGAGCATACTAGCACTACTGAGTTGGGCTTTTTCCCTCCGAAATAATCGGGAGTATTTTGAAAACCCCCTTCACGGATGATACAAGTTCGGGTGGAGCAGAAGTGACTTTCGCTGCCGGCCTGCGCTTCTGCCTTTCCAAGGAGGATAGGGCGGCGGTGACAGGCCCTTCCTCCGCTTCTTTTCCTTTCAGTCCCCAGATCCAGAGAAGAGAAAAGTTAATGGTGCCCACCCCACCCCCCAGAGGCAAAGCGGCCGCGTTCCTCCATCCCCTACTTATGCTCAGGGAAAATGCAGCCAGCTCGGCCCGGATTGGATGTGAAATAGTGTCATTCCCCCGTGACTCACGGTTAAGGGGGGGGGGGGGGGGGATACGGGTCCACATTGAGGGAGCCCAGCTGTCACCTCTGCCAGGGCACTCACAGGTAAAACGCTCCCCCAGCGCCTGTCGCTGCCCGTAACCCCGAGCTGCGGGCATGTATTCTGCCGGTCGCTCCTTCCCTCTCTACTTTCAATAAAGACTCTGCTTCAGAGCCGCCGTGTAATAGCCAGGGATTAGGTGCATGGTTGCTTTGAATATTCACCGAGGATCTCTTTGTTTCTTAACTTTTTTTTTTTTTCCCTCTCTTTTATTTCTTTAGAAGCCGGAAGCATACCCGAGTTATTAGTTACTGGATTAAAAACAAAGGGATGAACATCACATTACTTAATGGGCAGTATTACTGTTAATAGCAATTTTTTTTTTTTTTTTTTTTACCATTATTACTCAGTACCTACAATAGAACGGCTCTTTTAGACTACCTGGATCATGAGAAGTTTACCCAAGCACATGAGAAATGTCTGAATGCAGAAGGCAAAGAATCGACCTATATGTAAATTTCGCCTCTTTTTTTTTTTTTCCTCTTTTCTTCCCCCCCCCCCCCCCTTTTCTTTTTTTCTTTCCCCAAAAGTTAATAAGCAATGAGGTACTCCCAGTATTGGTTACATCCCTGCCATGGTTCTTCAGCGGCGCGGTGAGTCTGAACCGCCTTTAAGTGAGATGTAACACGTGACGGAGGCAGAAACTTTCAGTGGTGAGAGGGGTTGGGTTTTTCTTTTTTACCCTGTGAGGCTGGGCCCAGAGAAGCCGGGTCGAGCCGAGCCGGTCCGCTCCAGGCTGCCCGTCCCACTCCTTGCAAAGCGGCTCCCATCTTCCCATCGGGAGCTAATTGATGGCCCATTAGGGGGCTGGGTGCGCCAGGTAGAGTTAAATCAGACGCTGCACCTTGCAATTCGGTGGTAATGGTTTTGTTGCTATTTCTCCCTCGCCGCATCCTCCTTCTCTCTTACAGGAGCTAAGATTCAAGTGAAGAGGGGAAGGAAACTCAGCTTAATATTAACTTTCCTCTTAGCTGGGCCCGTTCCCCTCCAGCCGGGAGCTGGTGTACAGCAGCAATTCCCACGTCTGTCTGTCTGTCTGCTGCCGGCCTGCGCTGCATCTTACCTCCGTCCTCATCCCTTCCCCCAGTCTCCAGCTAAACAAAGGTGGGCGACGATTTTTTCAGCTCTCCAAGGCAGTTGGTGAGCAGCTTTCCTGAAACAATAACTCTTTTATTGAGAACAAATGTTGACATTTGCAGGGAGCGAGGAAAAAAGCAGCCCAGGAAGTGCAAAGTGGAAAGCAACCCTCTTCCTATTTGACGACACCGCCAATTCCTCCGGGATCCCACCTGAGATTAAAGCCTGAATTTCAATAAATCAGCTCTAATGAAACCTCTGGCCCCGAAAAGGGGAGGGTTTGTCTTTCCCGCTCAGAAACGAGTACAGAAACGAGAGGAGTGGGTGGGGAGAGAGTAAATATAGAAAGGGGTGTGGGGTTTTAATCCCAGTGGGCTGATTACCATCGTTATGAAATAAACCGTACACCAACTGATGTATTTTATCGTTAATCCCTTTCTCGCTATACTGAAACAGTCGCATTGCTTGTGACAACAATCTTGCAAGGCTACACTTCCCTCCTGCTTTCAATTTTGATTATTAAATCTCAAATGACGTTGAATATGCAGTTCTTGCCCATTAATTTATGTTTTAAAAAAGTAAGTTTATTTGCCAAATCGTTTGGGTGGCGCCCATCTGCATCTATGAACCGTTTGTGAATTTCTCAGAGGATGAGAGAAGTCCACTGGGTTTTACATACATAGTGAATAGTTAAAAGCGAGTTTTCCAAGTCATTCTACTTTTCTTTCCAGAAAGAAATCCAGGTCTAAATACTAGCAAGGGTGGGTAAATTATGGAAATCTTTTATAAGTCTTTGGGCGTATAAACATCAAAGGAATGTCGTTAGCCTTTTTTAATCTCTGCCACAGCTTTTGGTTTTTACCAATGGAAATGTGCACGTTGTGTCCAACAGAGACCTGAAACATAAAATGTGGGTGGTGAGGGTGGATGGGGTAGGAACAAGAGGGGGGAAAATAAAGTCCAGGCATCTCTCTCGACATAAGAAGTGCCTCCGTAAAATCTTCCTCAAGTGCACAGTGAAGGTGGCCAAGGAAGTTTACAGTAAATATTTGCATCTACATCATATGCTAAATTGGAGGGGAAAAGCTGAATTATTTCTTAGCTGTTTCTCTAATTGTACTACACACTGCACTCAGATATAAATGCATTTTACCTCAATGAAAAACAGGATGTTACAGGAGCAGAGAAACAACATTCTACATACAACATCAGAAGAGTAGGCCTCCAGCTGCAAAGATCTTCAGTGTTTTCTATTTAGCTAGATGGATTCCAGAGTTTTCCAGAATTAAAATATTAATTTCTGCACTATCAGCTGAAAAACACATGCACTTTTTCAGCCAGTTAGAAGTCTGTATAGGGGTAAAATACGAAGGACATCGGTGGGGGTTGTGCAGGGGAAGATGGATCATGGGAATTGTGTGTATGTATTTAAGAAAAACAGCTTCCTTTTCCCCTATTTAATACAATCACAACATATTTCCTGACTCCAGACTAGCGCAGCTCCTTATCCAGTGAACATTCCCAAGGCTGATGCCTGAAGTATCTAAGATCACTTTCAAATGCCCTTTCTAACAAGACCTGAGCAAGAGGCCACTAATTTTCACTGAACAAAAAGCCACTGGAGAGAGATCCGTTTGTCAATATCAACTGGTCCAGCAATTTCCCATCTTCAGACACATCAGCCTATCTGAGCTGGCAGATGTTTAGACAAGATTTTATAAATTGTTCAATATCAGACCATAATGAACCCCAACTGACCATTCCAAAGCAGCTAAAAGCATTCAGGATCTCCCCTGCTGGGATCTAATAATGCTCTCAAGCTGGAACATTATTAATCATGGAATAAAATAGATGAGCCTCTTGAAAAATAAGTGTATGATTGATTAAAGGGCAATCTAAGAAGCTATTATTCTTGTTTTATAACCGTAAGTTATATTCACTCAATTTATCTTTTGGGGAAAATAAATGATTGTTCGTTTCTTTTCTGAAATTATATTGTATGAGGATTCCCATTATTTTACTGAAAATTAAACTGATTATTTAGCTGATTTTATGAGCCCACTCAAAGTGGATTTCATATGACTGTAAAGATACAGTTTACAGATATAAGGCAAAAAGGGGGGAAAATAATAAAAACCACGAATTTGACTTTTCTATCTTCCTTCTCCTGGCCCCCTTTTGCATATTTTAGCTGGAAGCAGAAACAAAGAAATTAGAAATAAGCCACAGCTGATTATAATTCCTTTTTTTTTTTTCTTCTCCATAGAAATGGTGGAGTTAAAGAATGTTAACTCAAATAAAGAGCTACTTCACACCCAACATAGTTTATAAGAAACATGCATGTATTCACATCACTCTCCCTCCGCATATGCATGTATATATACAAATACGTATTTGCATACATGTGTGTATTTAAAGCTTAAGTATAACGGAACAACCCAGAAGGAATTAATTAATGCAAGGCATATCTTTGCAACATATTTAAATTACTCATTTTATGGTCTAAGCTCTACTAGTGAAATTACAACTTTCATCATTTTCTAAATAATAGATTACTATTTGGAGGGAAATGAACAAAAACCACCATATTGTTGCAGACTAGTCTGTTTTTATTTACAATTAGAGATATAAATTAGTAAAGAATTCTCTTTAAACAACCAAAGATTGTATAACCATCAACGTTTCAAATAAAAACCAGGCAAAATTTATTTACAAAAAGTTCAGATTCCATTGCAATACAACTTGCATAAATTACTAGAAGCTTTATATCGTTACAAAAATAAATATCAAATTTGTTTCCACTTTGTAAGGACTCAAGTTCTCCAATCACGTCTTTATTATCTCTACTGTATACATATTTTACAAATAAATTTTACAATAAATCCTATCACACCTATCGAATAGATACCGTGGCAATGAAGTGATCAATTCAAGATATCCTGAGAAAATCAGATCTGTTTTCAAAAGTCACACATACATCGGGGAAGCTATACTATACCAGCAAACTCACGTATGTCCAACAAAATTCTGGTTTAATAATTAGATTCTGAAGATCTAATAGTGCTCTGTGGTCTTCTTTTATACAGTGGCACCACATGTGATCCGGATTTAGAGATTTGTTATATATATTAGCTCGGGGAGAGATGATGGCTTGCTGACTTTTTTCAAAGCAATTGTGACACCTACCTGTGGACCAAGGAAAAAACCAGATCATCCAAAAATCCTTAAATCACACTCTAACACCATTAAACGGGGTAAAAGATAAAAAAAAAAAAGGGGTGGGGGGTGGGAAAATTTTTACACATCTAATTTCTTCTAACAAAAGAATTAGTAAAAAAGAAATCGATGAGACGAGGGGTTTTGTTGTTTATTTAGCCCTAAAGAGTGAAGGTATGAAGAGTGCCATTGCTAGCCAGACAAGAGGCAATCCACAGACAGCATGCCCTGCTTAAGATGCATGTCGGTCTCTAATAATTGCCTCCCTTTTCGTTTTAAATACACGGTCACTGCGGGAAGCCTCACTCCGAATGTACAATTTTAGCACAGCCACGTGAGCACAAGCACTTCGTTTTTAAACAATAATGCCTTCAAAGATTCTTTTTTTTTTTTCCCCTAAAGCTTTCTTTCCATAACATTTAAATAGCCCTTACAGCTTTGCCTTACACAAACGAAGAGCAGGCAAGGTGAGGGAACTGTTTAACTTGGCTTTCAAATTAAGACAAACCCGAGAAAGAAAAGTCATAATGAGAGGTTTACAAAACCAGAAGAAAAGAGTATCTTACTTCATAATCAGGCTCTTCAGTAATGAAGTAAGAAATTAACGTTAAGCAAGTCTAGAGCTGTGCAGCATGTCTGAGACCTGGTGCCAAATGATCAGTGTAATAGAAAATGTTCTCACTTACTTGCATTGCTGTGTGATTGCACTTCTATAGGTATGGTTGTACTCCTACTGTGCAGACTTCAGTGGGATCTGTCAAAATATAACCTTCAGTTAGTCACAGGACACAGCCAGCTAACTAGATTATACAGTGTGTGTAGGTCCCAGCTTTCACTCTTAGCTAGGTAGTTTAAAAAGCTGGCCAGGATTTTATAATTACCTGTATCTTGAGTATTTTGTTAGAATGAGTATTATATTAAAGCAAAACTTTTCGGGGGAGGGGGGGGAGGGGGCACATAATTTCATGTCCAAGGTCAGCAATTATCTGAACCCAAAGCTGAAGAAACCCGTGAGAATACTGGAAACAAAGATAGCAAAACCAGTTTGTTGGGGGGGAAATATAATAGGGGCAATGACACCAGTGCTCTATGGATATCTTTGTGTGTGCTTTTCCTTTTAAAAAATACGACTTTTGAAAGCTTCGTCTGCATCCTGTGAGACTGGTTTAAAAGCAGTCTTTTAAATTTCCTCTCGCGGTTCTTAGAGACAGGTGCGATACGACTGCGACACCGTTTTTAATCCTTGGGTCATACTATTGCCTATCTTCCCTCGGAGGTGGCAACGGTGACAGAGCACTCGCTGATTTCTCCAGAGGAGGCTTCGGTATTTACAGCGTGGAAAGGACTTGTACGGGTCAGGGAAGGGGGGTCAGGTAGAAAGGGGAAGAAAGTGGCAAAATCAAGTCACCTACCTTTCTTAGAGTCATAACTAGAGGGCCTGTAATGTTGTTCTAGCTGGTTAGTGATCGTTTTCAAAGAGTCACTGCTCTGTTTGTGAACAGAGCTGGCGTTTAGGACAGTCTGACTTAGTCCCTCGTTTGAAGCCACTGCTGCGGAGTTGTATCTCAGGATTCCCTGGCTCTGGAGAGCGTTAAAGTTCCCATAGTTTGTATAATTGCTATAAAAAGGTGAGGTGTAATAAATATGCCTTCCCAGGAGGGAGGAGGACGAGTAGGCAGCGCTGTGCGGGGCGGAGGCAGAGGTGGACGAAGAGAGAGGCGCCGGCTGGCACCCTTGGCCCAGGGTCTGGCTCTTGAGGTCCGACGTGGCGATTTCAGCCAGCGACCAGAGCTTGGGCTTGCTGGCTGGCGTCGGAGGCCCGGGAGAGGCACGGCCGCCCAGCGCCGCCTTGCTGGCGCTGCGGGCGGCGTCGGCGTGCGGGTGGCCGAGCAGAGGGGCCTCCACGGCGGCCAGCGGCGACGAGGTGGCGGTCTTGGCCGGCGGGTCGCGCTCCCCTCCGCCACCGCCGTCGTCCTCCTCGATGTCCTCTTCTTCCTCCTCGTCCTCCTCCTCTTCTTCGATATCCTCGTACTTGTCCT